TATGGAACTATAAACTTTGTATTATGACAATACTAAATTTGTTATGAGGACTTTCCGATTATCCAAATAATAGTCAATCTTCCTAACTCAATTACTGATTAATGAATAATTTAAAATTTGACTATTTAAATCGACGATTATTTCAATAATCAAAATTGAAAAGTTATATTAACTAATTGACAACTTAACACGTATGAAAGAATCCTATGGAGAATTCGAACATTTCCTATAGGATTTTTCTGGTGGGATTTCCTATAGGATTTTCTATAGGATTTCCTACAGCATTCACTATAGGGTTTTCTATAGAAAGTAACACACAAAATTGATACTCGAAACCAATCGGTCACAAGGGTCAGGATTAAGGTCATAAATCTGGTTGGAAATTCTATAGGGAATCCTATAGGAAATTCTATAGCATTTTTTCATACGTGAATAATATAACAATAATTGTAATTAGTGAATATGGCTATCCCTGCCCCCTAAATCGGATTCAATGTCACTTTCATGAGAATTACTTCCAAATTTGCCATGAAATAAAAAAAAATTTCCAACAGTTCATAACCATTATCTATGAAAAACATGAGGACAATTGTAACCAAAACCCGTGTTCAAGGGATAGACCTTAGCGGTTCCCCTGAACATTAAAAACCCAAGTAAAGGGTGTCTTCCTCAGAAAGCACAGCAGTTGATATTAGCTCCTGCAATTTATCATCTTCCCAAAGGTTAGCCTGGCCCACCCGCTACCGCCCATACATCCTGAAAACTGTTCCCCAAACCCCCAGGACACCCACCGCCTCAATTTTATCCGCCTTCTTCGTGACAAAAACACGACAGAAGAAGAAGAAGAAAAAGTATACATTACAAAAACGAGAAATACATGAAAACACGAAGTCTCATGCTTGCACAAAATAGCAGAAAACCTTTCGTAATGCTCAAAGACGCAAAGGTCCAAAGGGTAGGGGGAGTTCTATTCCGGTCCCAGCCGTCTGTTTATTTAAAACCTCGGGCACGTGCTTCTCGAGTCCATCTGAATCCCTGACACATACTCGTGTGTATTCATCTGTCCAAATCCAAGAATATTGAAAGACTGAATATTTCTTCTTTTTTATTGACTTCAATAGGTGTTTCGTGTACTGTCACACTCGAGTCCGATTAATTGAATATTTCAGCGGAATTCTTGGATTTATGCCAATCAAACGATTGAATTCACTAATTTTCCGTACGAGTTAATGAACTAATTCATCAAATTAATGGAGTGATGATCCCTAACAGGAAATAAACTGTTCGAGAAATTTCTGTCATTTCATTTCTTCTATTATGAACAAAAATGAGATGATTAAAGTCCTCTTTTCTGTTTATGATAGTTGATTTGTTTTTCATAGCTGGGCTTTTATAACTACAGAAGTCCTTCAAATTCACCGGAAGAACTTGAAAGATGCTTGAAAATTCAAGGCCAGATTGTGAATAACAACAAACAGAATGACAGGTGAACACTATTTTTTATTCTCAGTGTTATGAACTAGACGCGATGAGAATTATGGAATAACTCATAGAAGTCAATCCTACAATTGCAACGATTTCGTAAACAAATAAATTGTTACCAATTTGTTATTAAAAATCACTTGAAAACTTACTGTTTTTTATTTATTTTTCTTCATAGTACAATAAATTACCGAAAGGTTTAAAAAATTACGGGGCTTGTAGATTTATCAAAACGTCAGTTCATTCAACAATTACAATTTTTTTCACAATTAAATCAGTAGCGAAGTGGTCAAACGGTTCAAGTCGATTTTGGCTATTGGCCAGTTTTCAATGAATATCTCGAAATCTAAGGGAGATAGCAAAATTTTTCTCATAACCTTTTTAGTAGCACTCAATTCGCTCTACGAAAAATGTTATTATGAAAATTTCGCTATCTCCCTTAAATTCGGAAATATTTCTGGAAAACTCAACTAAAGAATAAATGGACTTAAATCGCTGACCACTTTGCTACTGAAATGCCAACAATATCGAATTTGTCTTATTTGAAAAAAATAGTTTTTAAGATTTCTCATAATTTAAGTGTGGAAATATCATTGTTAGCAATCAGCTGTTCGTCGACCTTTGAGAAAAAATGAATGAAGTATTCGAAACCACAAATGAGACAATAATTTTAAAACAAAAAAATTCTCGACACCTAGAATGTCTAGAATGCATGTCTTAATGTCTTAAAAACGGCTCAAATTTGGTGACACAAATGTCTCAAAAGCGGCACAAAATTCTCAATTTAAGACACTAATTCTCCGAGCACATCGCCTCTCCAATTTCATTAAATCCCAATGCTTCTAATTACTCTAATAATTATACAACATCAAAGCCCTCCACAAACCCATCACCCACAGTCCTGGAAGCGCCTCCACACATGTAAAACTGATGGATTCACCGTAAGAAACTGAACGGGCTCAGGTGATCATACAAGACAAAAGGTATAATGATGTGAAGCGAGCCGTTCTGGTGTCGCATTTCAGCCTATTATGATTCCGAATAAATCAGGCGAAGGAGATGTAATACGATATATAGCCAAGATATATATAAATATACCTACAACCTGCACCATCTTATTTCTCTTTTATACGTTCCCTTCCTCGTTTTTTACCTCCTTGAAAAGCAAACCTATCCTCCCTCGATACTATATATATATTGTTCAATGCCGAAACTGAAGACGACTTCTCTCTTATTTACGCTAGCACGAGGCACGGCGCTCTCTCCTCGTCTTTTTCTTCCTCTCTAGTTTTTCTTACTGGAATACATGGGCTTTTGTTCGGTTATTTTTGCAAGAATGAAAATAGATACCGATTACATGAGGGGAATGCCAGGATATTTTCACTTGGGAGTGCCCGGGTAATCGTTTCCTCCTTTTAACTCGATTAACCAGTTTTTGTGATTTGTTTCAATGAGAGGGAAATTATGTACATGTCATTTTTCATTTTTTCATTTTCGTGTGGAGATTGCGGTTTGAATGGGAGTTCATGGGGTTAAGGTATATCCCTAGAGAATGGCTTTTTCTTGCGATTGTCAACGTGTTTCTGCACGGAGAGAAATATTCAATAAAAATTACCAGAAAAAAGACGTAAAAATTACGTTTCGAAACGTAATCTGAGAGCGAAGTAAAATTCAATAAAAAGTGTCAATCATCACGTTAATTCTACGATCTGTTCCGTAAAAATTACGCGTCCGTCCGACGCCTCACAGCTAGCCATGAGTCACCGTGAGGGGGAGATTTTAACAACACGTTCCGTAATTTTTCCGGAACTTTTCGTAAAAATTCTTAAACATCCAAGAATTTTCATGTTCTGAGGCATAATAAGTCTTGAAGTTTCTGTTAGATTTTACAACTTCCAGGTGAATTACGTGACTTTTTCGTATTTTTTCGGTGACAGACCCGAAAATTTACTGAACGTTTCAGATTTATTCTCTTATATTCCTATAGAAATTCACTGAAAACGATTCTCGCTTGCGGATTACGTGAAATGTTCCGTAATTTTTCTTGAATATTTCTCTCTGTGTGATTGATAATGTTTATAATATTCCTCAGCTATGGAAAAAATCTAACTAGCTGCACTACACAGTTTAGGAGAGTAAATAATGAAATGCGGGGGTTGTGGGTGCCCCGAACTCGACTTCTCCACTCGAGAGGAGAAGGAACCCCTTTGTCTATCTCAAATCTTAGAATTGTGTTTTCTCCTACGATTATTAATTTCTATCTATGAAATTACTTTATCGACTCAATTATCGCATTGTTGAGTCAATGAAGTAGTTTAATGAATAAGAAATAATAATTGCAGGAGAAAACATAATTCTAAAGATTCACATAAACACAGGGGTTCCGGTTCCCCTTAAGGGGAGACTACTATGAGTTTTAAAAGTCGTGCGTTATTGGAGTGAGACTTTTCATACGTTGAAGATCGATAATTAGTGCAAAAACGGAAGAATACAGTTCCACGGAGAGTAAAATTGTAGAACAGGCAACAAATGTTGAGAAAAAAAAGGTGCAGAATATTTCGAACTCTTTTACAAGGAGGAGCCACCGTAAATCGCGTTAGAGCCAATCACTGCCACCTTGGAGCCTCCTTGTCAAGAGTCGGAATAATTAACGACCCAAGCTGTTCTTGTGGAGCAGAAAGTCAAAACTTTGAGCATATCCTATGGCACTGCCCAAAATATGAGCAACAAAGATGTAAATTAACGAATCGATTGAAAAAATCAAGATGTACTTTGCCTTTTACCACTGAGAAATTTTCAAATGCCAAAGACTTTAAATATATTGAAGAAATATGTTAATACCTAAAGGATTGCGAATTACAGATATAAATTATAGATGAAAAATAAGAGAATATAATGTATAGAACTTAATATTAATGATCGTGTAAATAACTCAATTAATAGGTTACACCACTTTAAAACAATACAATAAAAAAATTAGTGCAAAAAAAATTTTGTTTTATTGTTCGCTTGCCAGAGAACGCTTAAAATGCTAAAAACAGTCCAGGGCCTCCAATTTTTGAGCTACAAAAGATTATTTCTTTCAAAGTTTTCGGAAAAATGTGTGGAACAACAATTGCGAGCCAGTTTTTTGGAATTCGACCCCTACACAACTGATTTTGGGTTTTTTCAATGTCTTGATCTATACAGCTGTTCTAACTCAATAACAATGAATTCAAGTCACTGCACTTCCCCTTCAAAAAATCAGTAGAATTTGATTTTTCCAGTCAACTTTTCTTCTTTCTCTACTCATTGGAAAAATGAAACAAAAAACTTCCGCCGAGAACTTCCTATACAAAATATCTCAATAGCATAAGTTATGATAAAATATTTTATATTGAACATTTCTATAAAAAAATACGTGGAAAAACAGCGGAATTTCTCAACAGAATTACTGAAAAATTAATAGAATTTCTAAAGAATTCGCTACGTTTTTCTATAAAATTTATTCGCACGTTATCAATTTTATTCAATTTTACCTTTATCTCATCCTCCGGTGGTTCTTTCTTAACTTTAACACTGACAATGTCCTGATCACCACAGCTGTTCTGACTCGATAACAATGAATTCAAGCGACTGGACTTGCGCCTCACACTAATTTCACGTTTAGAAGACAATGAGGATGACGAGGAGCACGATGATGATGACAATGGAGACAGTCTGAATTTACTACTCATTATACATACCACTCATTACGCAAAATTTTCAATGTTCAATTTCTCCCATTCACTCGTCACACGTTATTGAACAAAAATAAAGATCATCTCATCTCTCGTTCTCTACTTTTTTTTTGCAAATTGGTTCGACGCTGGCGCGTGGCTCGCAGTCTCGCGCCACGATAAATGCACCCGAAGACAGTTTTTAATGATACATAACAAAAATAAACATTTTTTATTTCATCCAATGGCAAGAAAAATAACGAAATAAATTATTCCTTTGAAACGTTGAAATTCCAAAAGTCAAGGTTCAATTTGTTTAAATTAAATTGAGTTGTTTTTGGCGCGTGAGTGTGTGTGTAAAAAAATACTATGTGGAATTTACATTTGGAGGGAGAAAAATAATGCTGATAAAAATAAACGCGTACTATTCAAAACGTATGAGAATACACGCGCGGCAGCATTGAGAGCTGCTGGGTACGATACTTTCGTAACTTCCCGTGAACAACTGAGCGCAACTACTGGCTTTTGCTGGCGCGCTTCTACCCGATGCCTCGCAACGGCGGCGTCTCGGCGCCTATGTTGTGTACACGACGCAGCGATTAATTATGTTTTCCAACGGATTTATCATTTCAACATTAATTTTCGTGATTAAGGGGAGTTTCACCTCGGGAATAAAACTTGCGGCTTTGGAGAAAAAGAGTTCAAGAATACTGTTGTACTCAATTAAAAAGACGGAACACAACAAGTAAAATGGTTGGGACGGTTTATTTAATAAATCAGAGAGAGTAACAGGATGAAGATGTCTTGAGATCGATCTCCAAAGATAAGATCGAATCTTGATGTTGATAACATGACTGTCGTTCCGAGGGGCTTCTCTCGATGTCCAGATCATTGACAAAAGAAAAAGGATTCGAAGGGGGTACGCAACAATACTATTTTCCGCGTGATCATTGAAGTTATTATTATGACTGAAATGAAATTATTATTTCATTTATGAGATTCGAGAGTATTCGGTAATGAAGGGATGAATGAGGCTTCAAACTGGAAAACGGGAAATTCCCAGGAACAGAGGGAGGGGCAGTGGTTGCGGTTCTTAAGGGTCAGACGTTTCGAAGCGTCAAACAGTCTTAAGGATATCCAAGTACTTCGGCTATTTTCTCTCCTACACTAAGGAAAGAATTTTCTAATATCTGAAACATATCTTCTTCAAACAAGTAATTTTTCTTGAATTATTTAATTCTCCCAGGCATCTCAATTCACGTGGCCCGAGAAAGGTCTCATGCTTCAAAATATTCTTGTACTCAAGTATGATTTTGTCGCAAATGAACTCGCTTAAATCGCGTAGAAGAATCGTCAATCTTCAAGTATTTATTGGTTTCATATTTTTTTTGTTATGCAGTTCCAATATTTCGATATGTAATATATTCATGATATAATGCGCAACGATAGTGATAAGAAGACTGTTTTTTTGGGCTCAAATGAAAGAGCGGGTCGAGAAATGACGTGCTAGAGCCTCTAAACATGACAAATGTCTCTAAAGATGATATCTGTTTTCAATTGAAAAGCAGAGTTGTGACATCATTGTCTAGGAGGACAATGGGGTCTAGGAGTATGTATAGAACATTGGGGTCTAGGAGTCTCCCCTGGTTCAAAACCATCTTTAGAGGTCCTAGCACGCCATTTCTCGACCCGCTCTTTCGTTTGAGCCCAAAAAAACATTCATATCTTGTCTGACATCTTTGCTGAAAACTCGGGTCTTCAACTCGGGCTTTCAATTGAAGGCTCTTTTAGATTCCGAGAAATTCGTTAAAAACTACTCAATAGTCAAAATCCACTTAACCCGCTTTACCACTTCGCTACAGAATTCTAAAGATTCATATAAACGCAGGGGTTCCGTTTCCCCTTACGGTATATGCCCAGAAACAGGTTTTTCTTACGATTGTCCGCATTTTCTTCATCGATGACGTTTATAATATTCCCCAGCCATCGAAAAAAATTTAATTATTTGCACTACACAGCTGAGGAGATAATAAATAATAAAATTCGGGCTTCTAGCACGCGAGGCATAGGCCAAACGGGGATTATGGGTCGCCCCGAATTCGATTTTTCCATCTTATGAGAAAACGGTTCCTACGATGTACTTAAAAAACAAATCCGTGGTAGATTGATAAATTCCGAACATCGTGAATTTTTTGTAAAATTTTACAGTACATAGTTTCTGCGATATTCAACTCTAAAAAATGTCAATTTCGTGCAATCGTTTCTTAAGAATTACTAAGTAATTACTTGATTCAAATAATTAATTAGCAAATAAATCCTTATTTGATTCAGACAGTTATTCTTGTCTTCATCAACAATATATGACGATAAAAAAACTCAACGATTCATGAAAAATACAATAAACTAACTCATTTAAATTTTGTTTCCGGAAATCCATAGGGACTAACTTTTGGGGATTTCGTTTTGAGATACACCTTAAGGATCAAAGAGTCATAAAGTGAAAGGAGAAGGGCCTGGAGAAAAAATTGAAACCCTATGATTCCAATTCCGTCCGATATTCCTACTTCAGACAATGGAGATTCCTCATTTTTATTAATGACTCGATTGACTGGAATACTGAATGCCTATCTTCAGTACAGTCCACGAAACTTGAACCACACTTCGCAGGAAAAAAATGGCCACACTTAGATAGCCTCATGATTGATGAAAATTTTATTCACATTTATTCTTTTATTCTGAACACAATTTCTCGAAATTACAACACCAGAACACGTTCATATAGTTAATCCATTTCCACTTGATAAAATTTCTCCAGACTTTTGCGTTATCAAAAAACAAAAAACATGACAAGAAATATTGCTATGCATCAACTCCGTTCATATTGAGCACGAATCACTAATGATTTTCCATAATTTTTCAATCTCCCAATCTCTCCTCATCGAGTACACTTTTTTCTCAAATGTCTTGTTAATCCTATACCGCCATTATAGGCTCATTTTGCAATTATGTGATCATATTTGGCATATTATGCATTGAGCACAGAGGTAAGACAATGACAAGCTTTTCCATCGGAAAGTAATAAAATTATGCTACTAAAATTCTCAGACTACTTAACAATTTCTAAAAACACATTTTCAAACTCATCCCCATTAATTTCGATCCTCTCAACTGGTCACATTTCTAACATCTTATCTAGTATTCTATGTATTGTTTTTTATTTCGTTCAACTACAGAATTTTTAAGTACTTCTGTAGCACTTACTTAAAATATTCTATTGCTACCCCACATAACTATAAAACTTTGATTTCGAGTTGTTGTATTCATTTCAAAAGAGAAGAAAAATAGAGTGGAAGAAGCTTTAAAAAATCGTGTCAAGGAATTCCGGTGGAAAATGTCTAGAAAAAGTTCTATAGAATAATTCAGTAGCGAAGTGGTAAAACGGGTTAAAGTAGCTCTACCCTTACGGTAAATTCAAAGATTATTGAAAACTGCAAAAAAATTGCAGAAGACTCGATTAGATTCGGAATTCTAATTTTTTTCTCAATTTAATTATCGTTTTGGTTTTTCAAAGAAGAAATGTTTAAAAATCAGGATTTGGTGTCTTAATCAACATTTCCATTGGAATCAAAGATTAAAATCTGAATTTTTTTTCATTAGATGTAAAAAAATCAAGAATTTTTTTGACACCTCATAAAAAATAATCCACCGTTTTGCAAACAAGTTCTATTATTTATTTATAAGAGGGAAATGTTTAAAAAAATATAAATATTTTGCGAAATTTAATTTAGATAATACTGACTGGGTATGAATTTTTTCAAATTTTTTCCATGCAACTTAGTTAAAAAATTTAAAAACTGAAGAGCTACTTTAAGTCGACTTACTTTCCATTTGAGTTTTTGAGAAATCTTTCCGAATCTAAGGGAGATAGCGAAATTTTCGGAATTCCATTTATTGTAGCTCTCAATCGGCTCTACAAAGAAGGTTATAATAAAAATTTTGCCATCTCCCTTAGATTCCGAGGGATTCACTGAAAACTGGGCAATAGTCAAAATTGACTTGTACCGTTTTACCCCATCGCTACTGAATTAAATTTGGAAATTATGTTTTGCCGTGCTTTACTGTTCATTTGCGAATTTTGATTGATTTTCTTGTGTTTTAGACTTAGAAAATCCGCGCCCAATAGTGTTAACAGAAAAAATCTTAAGAGAAAAATTCAAACAGAAAAATCGAAATCTATTGACTTTTTCCTGTCAAATATTTAATAGCATCTGCGCGAAAAAATATAATTTTAACGAGAATTCTCTACCAGTTTAATAGAATCCCCAGAGAATTTCTCGATAATTCCAATCAGCTAATGACCGCAGAGGCCAAAAACTAAAATACAAATATCAGAAAATTGCAATAGAATTTTCCGGCGATTCACTAAGGTTTTCTATTGAATTTTTTCATAAGTGAATGACCTGATTGTTCTTATCATTTGGACACTTTAAAAATTTTGATTTTCTTCAAATCAGCTAAAGAACGTAAAGGCCTAGCACATCTAAATAATGGAAACCCAATAGAATTTTCTATGGAATCCCCTACGTTTTTCTATAAAATTTAGTCATGGAAGAACAGTAGGAGAAATGTTACTATTCTCTAAGTCTCCACACTGAGGGAAAAACAAACACGTTGTCAAACAATTCTTATTTGGGCCAACAAAATCGCGTTGAAAATTGCCAAAAAAGAATTTGTTTGGTTCGAATTTGAAAGTCTCAAACATGAATAATTGCTCTGCTTTCGACAGCAACGAAATATTTGGCTCAAGAGGCGGATAATTCATACCAGACGGTGCCTTTTCAGGATGAAAATATCTCATATAGAGGAAAATTTATCAGCAAATATTTTATCCCTAAGTTACGAGATTGCTATCATTTCATTATTATTGTTTCATTTAAGGGTTCATTTTTTGTCTGTAATTATTAGACAGTCGAAACGAAAAACTACTATCCCTTGTTTCGCATAAAACAAAGATTTTTCGGGAGCGAAATACGTATGGGAGTATCGAATAACGAAGGAGTAGTGCTAGAAATGACATTTCTTGCGTGTACAGAGAATGTAATTTTTTTGAACTACTAAATCTATTTTTGCGACAAAAATTTTTCATTCCGGCGCACTCTCTTCATGTTTGGCACAAAAAAATCTTTTTTTGATAATTTTCAAAAAAACTATTTTGTTGGCACAAGTAAGACTTGTTTGAGGACTTTGTCGTTTTTCTCTCAGTGCACTCAATTGACGACCTCTATTCTCCAGAGGTACATGTCTAAAGACCATCTAAAAAATATGAATCCATGTCGATGTGTGGCAGGTACATCATGAAGACACTACGGATCTCTGATCAATGCTCGCTATCATATAAAAATACTCATGATCAAGGCGGTGATTTGTTTCGGAATTGACGAGTCATGACCTTTTCTCTGCATTTTGTACTTTCATTCTCTCTGAACCTGTTCAACAATTCCATTTCTCATTTCCATTCAATTGGTGTCAATGGTTTTGAGAAAATGACAAAGGAGAATGACAATGGAAAATCGAGTAAAAAATTATTCTTTTCTTCTAGTTTAATATTTAAGTATCCTCATTTGTCTGTGTGAGTGATGCAGGGGTGGTTCCGCTAATCCTCATATGTTTGAGCTCGTTTCCTCCTGGAAATTCCAAAAATTACGAATTTTCACTTTCATACAAACCGGAACAAATTGACGATTAATGAAGAGTCACAAGAATAAAAGGTAGGAATTTTTAGAAGTAGGAAAGGCAAAAGAAAGAAATTGCAAGCGTTTCAAAGTTGATAGAAGTTTATTTGAATGTAAAAATAAAACGCAGGAATGCATTCACCTAAACTATCATTGTCATCACTTTTTGGGTCTTTATTTTTTATAGATTTATATTAGATAAAGAAGCCAAGACAAAAACATCGTCAATCTTCAGGCAACGAGTATCAGACAATTACTGATAAGTGGGACATGGTAAAATAGGATGAGTCAATTTCGCTTGGAGATTATTTCTTCGAAATAATTCGCTTCGACTCATGCATCGATTTTTACTATTAGAATTAGTTTTAGGAAAATTTATATTGAAATACAATTCCGTTTTGAGATTTTTTATGACTGCTCTTCAAAAAATTGTCAATAGATTTTGATTTTTCTGTACAATTTTTGCTCTTGTGATGTTTTCTATGAGAGAATCATTCTTGGGAATGAGTTTTTCAAGTTTGTTTCTTGAAATTCGTAATGAGAAATTTAAGAAATATCAAAATCTTTTAACAAATTAGTTTTTTGAGTTTTAAGCGTTCCGTTTTTTATAAGGGACGTTTCCACGCTTCGCGTGCCTAAGCGTGATGAAAATTATTTTTCGCGACCGTGAAAAAATTCCTAGTAAATGCGCCAAGTTTTTCTTTCCAATTTATGCACATGAGAAAGCATTCATCCCCTTCACGTTCGAAAATACTTCCGAAGAAACTAATCATCAAATAACGATTGACTCATCCCCTCACGAGAAAGCAAAAGAAGAAGAATAAAGCGTGATGAAGAGTGACATCAGAGAAACAAAAAGGAGAATCGAACATCACATTTTATTAAAAAATAATAAACTTCGCCCATGATTGCATTCATCACTTTGCATCACGAAGCGAATGGTAAAACAGCTCATACAGCAGTCAGAAGTGAGAAAAAATATGATTATCAGTCTATTATTTCAAGCAGAAGAATTCGTGCTTTCAATCACTCAATCAATCTTGCACTAATCAGCAATGGAACACTCTCAGAGTATGTAATGCATCCACAGCCATTGCGCTGAATTTCATTGGAGCATCTGTAGTAGGTGATTGGACAGTCCATGAATGGCTCGGAGTAACAGGCACGCTCAGTGTTCCGTCGACACTTAGCATTGCAAAGTGCAGTGGCTGATAAATTTTGATTTTTTGTTGACCTACCTTCCTCTCTCCTTCCACCGGATCCAGCGATTGATTCACATCCCGGCTTTGCTATTCCTGTGAATCACACATTGAACCACCACCATACCGAGACTCAAACTACAAAGCAGGAGGACAACAAAAAAGCAAAATATTTCGTCATGAATTAGCGGATTATTGAAATAACAGGGCGGAGAAACGTTAATTATTTGAGTTTTTCCTTCGATTTCGAGAAAATCGATTACGGAATTGAATGGATTAAGGTGATCATTGAGAAAATTTCAATCGCATCGATCTGAGAGTTTCATTCTTGCGAAGCGGTGAATACGCACACGAAAAAATTTCATAGAAAAACCTAGCGAATTCGCCAGAAAATTAATTTCGATTTCTATTAAAAATTCTATTAGTTTTTTCTTCAATTAGTTTAGGTAAGTGTCCAATAGAAAGGTTTTATGGACATAGTCTGTAGATTTTGATCTTTATATGACTTCTTCTATTGAGGTATTTTTTGCATAAGCACACGAAGAAAAAAGTTGGAGAAACATTGGCAAACAGTCCTTTTTCACCTTAAGGGGAGACTACTATCAGTTTTAAAAGTCGTGGGTTATTGGAGTGAGATTTTTCATACGTTGAAGATCGATTATATAGATGTGAAAACGAATAATTACTACAAAAAATTTTTTTTCATTGTTCTTTTGCCCGAAAACGGTTAAAATGCTAAAAACAGTCCAGGGCCTCCAATTTTTGAGCTACAAAAGATTTTTTTTTCAAAATTTTCTAAAAAATGTGTGGAACAACAAGTAATTAGTGGAAAAAATATGAACCACTAGCTTAAGTATGCACGCGCGAAGCGCGCGTTTCTTTTCTAGTTTATAGAAACGACGGAAGTCCAATATAATTTTCAAGGAAAGTTCAATAGAAATTCTATAGAATTTTCTAGTGAATTCGCTGGATTTTTGTGTAAAATTTTTTCGTGCGTATCGAGTTTTGTGAATGAACACTAAAGACATGTTAGTCAGGAAATAAAAAGATTCCTCCCATCACAGATTTTTGACTATTTGGCATTTTAAAATGCTAAATAGTAAAAATAGTGGAAAATCAGTGGGAAGTTGAATAAATTGACAATTCTGCTTATTCCATTCAACTACAAAATTCATTTTTAAATTACCAACCATTGAGGCAAGCATCATCATTGATGGACTCTTCAGCTACATGGTTCTTACAAGATTCCGGTTCGGAATCGTTCACGAACCACACTAGGAACATGGCGCCGGCTCCAATGATTGGGGGAATACCAGCCAGAACAAGTGGTAACGTGTAAGACCCTGAAAATCAAAATTGAAAAATGAACTAACAAAAAAAGGGCATGTTCAGGAGCGGAGAAGCCAAATTAATCCACACACTGTTGGAAAATTTTCGCTGAAATTTTGATCACATTTTAGTTTCACCAAAATTTCAAGAAATTTCGTAATTGGAAATTCAGAATTTCATGGAAAAATTAATGAGGTCTGGAAATTTAATAATTTAGTTTAATTGTTCCATGAAAATCAATCGAAATCAGGAAAATTTCGGTAAATATCATATATTGTTGAATTTTTTATTAATTGAAAAATAAGTTGTTAACAATTTAATTATTGAAATCGAGTTTTCTCGGAAAGACAAATCATGGGAAAACTAGTATTTTGCAAAATTTCTCCTCAAGGAAACCAAAAAGATTTCGTCATGAGGGAATCTCCCCTTAATGTAGTCCACATTAATCGTGGAAAACAAATGGTAACATAATTTTTTGTGAATTGTTATAACTGAAGAACTTACCTGTATGATCGAATAATAAACCCGCGATGGGTGGACCCACAGTTAAAGGTATGGAGCACATTCCCAGGAGAAATCCAATGGCTTGAGTGGCTCCTTCCCTTCCACAAATATCAAAAGCAATTGGGCCAAGTAATGATATGAAACATCCGTCAAATAAACCCATGAACAAAGTTATCACAAGGAGAATTGAGTAGTAAGGGGGTGTCAGTGGCAAGAGCATCGTTAAGATCCCAATACTGAAGAAAGATATCTGAAAAACAAACATTATTCATGAATTTTGGGGCCAATAAAAGCGACTCATAAATCGAAATACCTTCTTTTATTCTCTTCTTGAATTCAACAATCGATGTTTAGTTTCCTTCATTGAGGAGAATCAAATCTATTCTTTGGACAAATAATAGTGCAAGAGGCAAGACAATAGACAGATTTTTCTCTTGGTAAGAAGGACAAGATAAGACAAGAGGGAAGTTCACAAAAGGCAAAAGAAAAAAGAGATATGGAACACGAGAAAAATAATGAATCGAAGAATTCGTTAAAAACTCTCGAGTCATCAATAATATAAGGCTATTTTGTTAAATAACACTTTATCTATCCCTGGATATTGTGAAGAATTATGTATTCCTCGATTATATTAATCTTTCTTCTCGAATATCGCATCTTTCATTATTGGAGCTAGTGGAGATGAGAACCATGAATTCATACACAGCAAGTACTCAACATTTTTGTTACTCAATCGACTCCGGTGTTTTCTGATGATGAGACCAGCTTTTGAAAACAACCGTTCTGAAGGAACACTGGATGCACAAATTGTCAACTAATCACGAGCCATACGAGCCAAACGAGGATAACTCAATTTATTAATCTCACGGAATTGAAAAATAAAATCGTCGAGGTGCACAAGAGAACGCAAGACAAGACAAGAATTTTTTTTTCTTGCTCATATCCAACAAGACAGGAGACGAATTTTCTCTTGCCAATTGGAACAAGACAAGACGAGAGAAAAACCCTAAAATTACAAGACAAGACAAGAAATACGTAATTCTCGTCTTGTCTTGTGGCATCACTAATAAATAAATATTAAAGAAAGATGATTGAATTCATTCTTTTCACTCACTTGTTGTAATAATATTCTATTAACCCTCGGCAAATCCGCAATGTATCCAAAAACAAGACGACCAATGCCAGACGTTATCCCAATGCACATGATCGGGAGACGCTCATTGGCATTTTTGTCGAATACTCTCTGCACGAAATTTGCTATGTGAACGTAGGGGACGAAATACCTGAAAACAAATTGGAAATTATTACCGGAGATTAATGCATGAAATGCGCAATTTTTTTACTAGTTTTAGGAGTAATTCCAACCCGAAGAGTGCTAAGGGGATGGCACTGGCCCAGACAACGTATTTCTTCCTCTTCCAGATGGAAGTGTTCACTACTGTTTTCATCTTCGATCTAAATGTGGCCTTCGGATTTAGTCCAGACTCCGGTGTGTGCGCTGCTTTATTCGTTACTGAAAAATTCGTGAGGAGAAATTAATCTCGAGTTTCCGTGACTTTCTGCTTCCGCATGAAAGCATTCTAATCGGGCAAATTTAAGTTTAAGGGGTAACGAAAGGCCACCGTTTCCTCGAAATTTTTAAACAAATTTCCTGCTCAAAGTTACTGATATTTTTCGAACCCAAAGCACATTGATCTTCATCATCACCTCCTCGAGATTAATGTGCTTCGATTCGTAAAAATATCAATAATTTTCGGCAGGAAAGTTGTTCAAAAATTTGGAAACTGAGCGGCATTCTATTACCCCTTAAGGGTAATAGAAAAATCTCTCCATGTATTCCTGGAAATTTCTAAAATCTATTTTTCCCTTCATATGGTAAAAGAATATTCGTACTCCTTATTCCTATGGTCGGATTCTAAACTTTTCAATGTCTTCGGAAAGTTTTGAAATTTTTTTACGAATAAGGAATACTCATAAATTCGACGCCTTTCGTTGTTTTTTGATCGAATGAATAGAATTACATGAACGGCAATGAATTACTAAAATCATGAATTGGAGACTGAAAATTTTTAGAAAAGGATGATCAGCTAGGAAATGGAGAAAATTTGTTTTTTTTTTAAATTTTTGTCGGTGGAAACTTGGAATCACTGTTTTTCCTTCAAATATGGGCGGGATATGAATATTTTCGAATTTTATTATCTCATTTTAATGAGAAAAAACGAAAAAAAGCAAAAAAACGTAGCCGGGAAGAAATTAAAAAATTGATTTTTCAATGTCTCCGGAAAGTTTTGAAATCGATATATTTTTTCGAATAAGGGGAGAATATCCATAATTTCGACGCCTTTCGTTGTTTTTTGATCGAATGAATAGAATTACATGAATGACAATAAATTTCAAAAATCATTAATTGGACACTGAAAATTTTTAAAAAGGGATGATCAGCTAGAAAATGGAGAAATTTTTTTTTTTTATATTTTTGTCGGTGGAAACTTGGAATCACTGTTTTTTCCTTTAAATATGAGCGGGATATAAATATTTTCGAATTTTATGATCTCATTTTAACGAGAAAAAACAAAAAAAAATGCAAAAAAAACGTTGCCGGGAAGAAATAAAAAATATTGATTTTTGAATATCTCCGGAAAGTTTTAAAATCGATATATTTTTTCAAATAAGGGAAGAACACCCATAAATTCTATTTTTATCGTTGTCTTTTGATGGAATGAATAGAACAAATGACAGAAATTGAGAATTGGAGACTAAAAATTTTATCGGATTATTATTATGAACAATTATTTGGATCAAATCAAAAAAAATCTTCAATCTGCATAAAAACTTATTTCTTTGATTCAAACAAATAATTTTTCTGGGTACGCGATTACCCGCTTGTTCATCTCGAGACAGGAGATGAGAGCGGCAATGAACCGAGGAAATTTCCAGTGGTTCACCTACCAGGTATTGGCTTGAAGAGTATCGCACACATCATAACGACCGATGTAAGAACCGCCAAACTTCTGAGTGTGCCGACCAATCCAAATCGCTTCAACAGTGTACCCATTAAGTAAGGCATAATTGTAGTAAATACAGAGCTTCCGGCGGTTACAACCCCATTAACGAGGCCCAAGTAACGTTTGAAGTAGTGCCCCAAAATGACTAAACTCGGTGTGTACGCCAGACTCGCACCCAGGCCGTACATAACGCCGTAAGTTAGGTACAGAATTTCAACCTTGAAACAATTCAACAAATCTATAGCGAAACGAGAAGGACAGAATTGCGTGCAGATTATTTTCTGTTATTTTTGCAGTACAAATTCGTTATTTGAAGGATTAATACTCAATCATGAATCATCGGCTTCATACAAGCTTAGTGACTCGCATAAAAAAATCAACAGAAAAACGTAGCGATTTCGCTAGACATTTCTATTGGATTTCTATTGAATTTCCTATTAGTTTTTGGCCGATTCTATTGAAATGTTCAATAGAAAATATTTTTTAGAAAAAGTCCAATATTTTTTAGAAATCCAATAGAATGATCTAGCGAATTCGCTAGGTTTTTCTATTAAATTTTTTCACACGTGGAAGGGAAGTCATGTTGATGGCTCAGTACCTTCTACAGTTTCGTATGGGTCGCACTATAGCATTTGGAAATTTTCAATCGTCAGATTTGTTTATTCAATTGAATGAGACAAATTTGATTAAATGTACGAAATTATCCATTGATCATAAAATAATTCATAATATTTAAATTTCATTCATAAAATTTTTTTTTTACATACGACCGTTTACAAATTTTTCTACAAAACAGGTCGTAATGTACAGAAATTGAAACTTTCAAGTGAAAGCTCTAATATTTTTATATAAAGCTCTAATATCCACATGATAAAAAGAATTTTCAACGGAAAAAAATGGCCTCGAATATGATGAAATTATAATTACCCTAAATTTACTAAATTATCCATTGATCAAAAAATAATTCATAATATTTCAATTTCATTCATAAAAATTTTTTTTTACATACGACCGTTTACAAATTTTTCTACAAAATAGATCGTAATGTATAGAAATTGAAACTTTCAAGTGAAAGCTCTAATATTTTTATATAAAGCTCTAATATCCACATGATAAAAAGGATTTTCAACGGAAAAAAATGGCCTCGAATATGATGAAATTATAATTACCCTAAATTTACTAAATTATCCATTGAGCAAAAAATAATTCATAATATTTCAATTTCATTCATAAAAATTTTTTTTTACATACGACCGTTTACAAATTTTTCTACAAAATAGATCGTAATGTATAGAAATTGAAACTTTCAAGTGAAAGCTCTAATATTTTTATATAAAGCTCTAATATCCACATGATAAAAAGGATTTTCAACGGAAAAAAATGGCCTCGAATATGATGAAATTATAATTACCCTAAATTTACTAAATTATCCATTGAGCAAAAAATAATTCATAATATTTAAATTTCATTCATAAAAATTTTTTTTACATACGATCGTTTACAAATTTTTCTACAAAACAGGTCGTAATGTACAGAAATTGAAACTTTCAAGTGAAAGCTCTAATATTTTTATATAAAGCTCTAATATCCACTTGATGAAAAGGATTTTCTACGGAAAAATGACCTCGAATATGATGAAATTATAATTACCCTAGTGGAAAACATAGAAGACAGTAACATTCCTCCAAAAGCCAGTGCACCACCGATGAATGTCGTCATCTGAATTCCAATTCTATCGGTGAGAATCCCAGCAACAGGAGACAAGAAAAATGTCGTTCCTATTGTCAGCGAGCCAACCAATGCTGTAATCGTATGCAAAATCATTCACTATCACATTGTGTTATCCATTCATTTACTCATTTATCTCTTTATTCTTTCATCTTACCCATTAATCATTTCACCAATTTTACCGAATGTGAATAAGTATTCAATATATACTATTACCTGAGTTTTATCGAATTGGAGATTTTTTTTTATATAAAAAGCTCACGACAGTATTGCGCAACTTGATAAGCAATGATGCTGTTCTCACCATTTTCCAACTTAATTAAGAAGGCATTGAAATATACTTTTCAAGCCTTGATTTAATTGCAATTACTGATAATTCTGTCTGTAATTTAGTTACCCTGACACAAACCATTGGAACCTTAAATTTGAGAAGCCATTACAAAGCTTCTATTCGGAAGCAATAAATTTATGGATAACAATAATGGTCATAATAAATGATACTTCTTTGTTTCTTTGAATAAAAAAAAACGCTTGTCGAAAAACACTCAAATTTTGTCTCAAACCTGGACACATAATAAAAGCGAATATCAACTCCTGTCTTAGTGAATAAATAAATACATAACGATCACAAATTCATGCACTCGCGAAGCGGGTTTTTGGCACTTACGCCCTTTGGCTATAGGGCGACGAGATAGTGTCCGAAAAAATCGTAATTTCAAAAAATCGCAATTTTATAAGTTTTCATAAAAAAGTAAACATCAAATTTTTGTCACAAACAAAATTAGAAAATCCTATTAGTGTGTTGATAATAACAAAATCGATATGGTGATTTGAATCTGATTTTGTCATGGGAAATAAAAAAAATGCTTCACTAGCCAATGCTATCACACCCACGTGATGCACGAGACTTATTTTTCTTCATCTCTCACGAGGAAACAATTTATGAATGTTTGTGGCAGGTCAGACGCGTCGATAGGATACTATCAACTATGGGAAACAATGTGAGAAACTTCACTCGATATCAGTGCGGTTCAGTGACCAATTTGCGCGCATCGATATGTCTATGGGGAAAAACTAAATTGATAATTACACAATACCACGATTCATTACCATTTTTAATGGCGTAACGTCGGCTCAGGGAGCATAACTCCGAAGTACGGCTATGAGTCTGTAATAATTTACATCATCACTTCACGGCAATCATTAAAATGGAACTTTTGCAGGAAGGAAAAGTGGAGAAGAATTTTTAGATTTAGATACACGCGGCGGGTCATTATTATATGGCAAGAGTCACCAAAATATTATGATCTTTTGTAAGATCGGCCTTTTGGATCAGTCACCATCCCCAGCCCTGAGAACTTTCGTATGAATGATCAATCATTAATCGATGTAATCAATATTCTAAGATTTGACATTTAGTATTTCATTTTCTCATGGAAAATCAGGAATGAATGAATAAATGATCGGGAACTGTTCATTTGTTGAGTTCATTGCATAGTTCTCGATTTTTAAAATCTGCAGCCCTTTGTGGACGTTCTACATCTTTACTCATTCACGAACTTCATTCTCCCATCTTGCTGTATTGAATATCACATCACGGGTACAAGAGCAAGTACTCGAATTTCAATCTATTCCGACCGGTATTGAAATCGATCTTATCCGCACTTCCTCCAAGTAGTGCAATTATTTTTACCTTGTACGATTCAATATAACAGCATAAATATGAATATAATAATTCAGAAATGGTGCACAGGATGAATCACTTCTTTGAGACTTAAGATATATCCTAAGACAATGCGACCCAAAAGTTAGTCCCTATGGATTTTCGGAAAAAATTCTAAATAACTTAATTTATTGCAGTCTCATAAGTTATTGAGTTTTTCTATTCTACATACATGCACAAATAGGGACAGAGTTTTAAAATTACATTTTCGGACTTTTCGGATCATAATGATATAACACAAAAAATCCAAAGCATAAATTTGAACGATTACAAAGCTTCCATCTAGCAGCAAAAACACTAAATATGATTAAGCTCAGCCATCATATCACCGCTCTATACTGTGCCATTCACGACACACCCAATTTTGTCAAAATTATCCCTATTTTCTCTACCTTTACCCTCTAAAATCAAAACATAAATTGATTTTTTCATATAAAATACAGTCAAGGCTTCATATAAGATACCTCGAGCTCCAAGCGCTCGAGGCCTACCCCCACTCTCGGCACTTTTGTCGCCTCCCGAATGTTTAGTTCCGTGGGCTTCTTATAAGATACCTATGGCCTCGATAATTTTTCAACGGGAAAAGAGTGATTATAAGGATCAAACGGAGTTGAGGGTCAAACGGGAGGGACGAACGAAGTGATCATAAGGGTCAAATGACCTTAAGGGTCAAGAGTTCAAACGTGAGAGTCAAGTGAAGTAATCAGAAGGGTTAAACGATCCCAAGGGTCACCTCTTTTCTTCGACGCTGTAATTATTAAAATGATGACGCAGAATTATCTTAACAGAATAAAGCCCAATTAAAATTCAATTAATTTACTTACTGTCAATAATTTGTACTTCAGCTGTCCAGAAGTGATTATTCTCAAGTCCCCCAACAATCCCTCAACATCAGCTGCCATTCTATCACGCGGAGTTATGTTTAGAGAGAAAAGAGAACGCGGACTATACGAATTCAAAACATTAAACTCGTATAAATTGATTAGTTATCAATATCCATTCAGTAAAAATAAAAATTCCACAGAATTCGGGCGCAACGAGCGAGGTATCTTATTTCAAACCGCTGATCCCTATTTTTCTCCTCTCTATAAGCGTGCGTAGTGGGGGTATACGGATCCCCGGAATTCTACTCTCCTACTGTCCCCAAGGTATCTTATATAAAGCCTTGACTCTACTTGGCTGAAGGCCTTCGATCGAGTTCCTACAGGAACTTGCAGCAAATGTCACATGTTTCACATATTTCTAACATGTTTGTTTTTAATTTCTTCATGGAATCTGATGATTAGGCCCGGTGGCTCGGCGCAGTGGGTAAGTTCGTTGCCTCACATGCGAAAGGTTCCGAGTTCAAATCCCGGCCGGGTAGATTGGTGCGATCTAACCATTTAAAGTCTTGATCATCATCGCAGTATACCCTAACGGGGTCGAAGCGATGTAAAATAACGATAAAAAAAAAAGAATCTGGTGAAGCAAAAATATATTCAGCGAAACGTCGCATCCTCGACAATTAGATCATAGTGTTTTAGTTCCCCAAAAATCTCTGATTCTGCATTAATAAATAAATAATGAATTAGGAACTCACAAGCTTTCGATGAGACCTCAGTTTCCCCGGCGTCCCTCAGAATCTCCGATAATTTGAGAAAAATCAGGGAATAGGAGTTAATGACACTGAACAAAATTCCATTAATAGTGAAACTCCCCAGCATTATCATCCACGCTCGAACTCCACCATCCGGTGGTAACTTGTCATCATCATCGTCATCCTCCTCAGGTTGGCCCTTTCTTCTCACTAATTTATTCGGCGAAAAATTGTCCGACTTTGATTGTTCGCTTAATGAAACTATTTGAGGATGATTATTATCAATGAAAGCTTCACTTTCGTCTCCATTGTCACTGGACTGCCTTTCTATGGGTGTCACCTTCACACGTGTCATCATTTCTTCAGCGGCTCTTTGATTGTCAATGACGCATCTCGCGTCTGCTGAGTCGACATTTGTTCCGACTTCTCCGTTCGCGTTGACGTATCCCGTTGCAGTCATGATTGTTTAGAGGTAGTTTATTCCTGTAGATAAGTTTTCAAACTCCTGGAAATGGAATACGAATGTCAATATTGATGGGTTGTGCTGGAAAAAGTGATAAGACGTATGAAAAAATCTGACAGAAAATAGTATATTTCGTAACGAGTGCAAAAAACATTTTTTCACGAGTTACGAACAATATTTTTCATCACAATGTGGCGGAAAGTGGACTTTTAGGCACGCGGAGCGTGCCGAAAAGTTCACTTTTCGTCACAGCGTGATGAAAATTTTGTTCTTTCACTGATAAATTCCATCAAATTTCTGGTGGAGTTTCATTGAAATTTTTTCTATATCTGTGATAACAAATTTTAATTGTTTCCTGCCCTGATCACTGTTCAAAATTACACAGCTTGGTCATGAGATTTGGTAGATAAATTCAGTAGCCAAGTGGTGAAACGATACAAGTTAATTTTGACTATTGGCCAGTTGTCGAAGAATAACTCGGAATCTAAGGGAGATAGCAAAACTTTTGTTATAAACTTTTTTGTAGAGCCGATTGACAGCTACAACAAATGTAGTTACGAAAATTTCGATACCTCCCTTAGATTCGGAAATATTCCTCAAAAACTCAACTGTTACTCAACTGTACTGTTATAATTTCATGGAAACTGTTCTCTTGACATTTTTTTCTACAAAAACGCTTGGGCATAAGTTTTTCAAGTTCGTGTCTCTGTTTTTAAAATCTCTTATTCCAAAAACAAATAGAACATTTGAAAATATGTACCCAAAAATTGTTTTAGAAAGAATCCCAATAGAATAAGTCACGCAGGAACATTAAAACATAGCGCCTATTTTCTATTAACACTCCGTGTCCTGAGAATCAGTGACATGTCCCTGGAAATCAAAACTTTTTCTCTGTGTTCTTTCTGAAAACGAAGCAATAATCGCTCAACATATCGCTCAACGTTATGACCATTATGGATTGTTAAAAATTAATGGTAAAATAATTGATCAACTTGAAATTCTCTATGAAATGACGTCAATTTGGATAAAATGAAATGATAATTACAGTCTTATCTATCAAATCAATGAACAATGATGTTCAGGAATGTGAAATTTTCTTGTCGAAATTCTCATCATTAGGCGCGTCATAAAGTAATAAGACAAGATACCCGAGTGGAAATTCTGTTCAGGTCTCGATCAGAAACTGATCAAGTTCGATCCGAAATTCTGATCAGGCATATTACGCCTCTACCTTATGTTTTTCCACTAGGGTAAGCCAACTCTAATTGAAAGTAATTTTTTGATAAATTCCTTCTAATCCGAGAGGGAGAGAGAGAGAAAGAGAGGGAGAGAGAGAACACGTATGAAAAAATTCCATAGAAAACCTAGCAAATTCGCTAGAAAATTCTATCAGAATGCTATGAGGTTTCTATAAGATTTCTATTGGAATTCTATTGAAAAATCCTTCTTGTTTTTTGCGCTGATCCTATTGGATATTCGCTAATAAAAAATCAATAGATTTCGAATTTCTGTTTGAATTTTTCTCTTGAGATTGTGTCTATAAGAATGCTTGGGCATCAATTTTTTCCGCTCTAATTCTGTAATTCAAAACAAAACAATAGCCAGCTGAAATAACTAAGAAAATTCGTACCCAATAATTCTAATGGAAAAAATCTCAAAAGAAAAATTGGAACAGAAATTCAAAATATATACAAACAAGTAGAATTTTTCGATAGAATTCCAACAGAAATCCTATAAAAACCGCCATAGAATTCCTATAGAATTCCAATAGAATTTTGTAGCAAATTGGCCAGGTTTTCTAAAAAAATTATTTTGAAACCAATATTCAGGGAAGAGTAAAAAAATTTTAACTTTGAGGAAATGTTGGCTGCCAACGTTGGGCCAATGTTAAATGCAATGAATCATTTAATTCAATTAAAAATACATCCTTATGGAAATTCTGTTCGGAAGAAAATTGCCAATTAATTAATTAATAATTGATAATAATTCATAATTAATTAATCTGCTGTGAAGAAAGCAATTTCCCACTTGTTCCATGAATTGTTCGAAAACAAATGATTTAACGCAATGTCACGTTCTTATTTTCCATCATTTCCTCCAGTACTTTTTGAAACTAATTCACCTTGATAGACTCAGGGGGACGTAGAGTGATTGAAAAATAAAATATAACTGAAACCACAAGGATCTGAGACACTCGCAGTTGTCATTGACTTGAGAACTCATATTTACTCCAATAAATTGTCATTGAAAATTAAACATAATCGTCTTTGATGTCTCGGGTTCAAAGATCACTCGAAGTTTGTTTGATAATGTTAAAGTTGTCATCTAGAGCCTGACAAAATATTACCCTCACTTAATCACGTCTCCGGAACTACTCGAGTCAATTAATGAGCGTTTTATCAATTGAGACAAATGAATTAAAATGAAACAACGTTGAGAAGTCTTCTTTTCAATTGAATTTCTGAATTAAATTCAAACTCGAATTAAATAATAATTTTTTGTCTTTTACACTTTCAAACGTTTCATTAAATCAATTCTTCACACGATTCACTGAACAATTCAAGACATGAAAACTAAATTGAATGAATATTTCGAATCAATTTTTTTTATTAGACATAGTTTAAATGAATTCACAAGTGATCGTTACTTTGTGCGTTATTAGTCTCTTTCTTTTTTTTACTTCTGCCAATTCCAATGGTAGTAATCTCCCGAATGTATCCGTAGCAATTTCCTATCCTTGCGACGGGAAAACAACCGTAACCATATGCAACAGGTTGTCTACAGGAAGATATTCAACCTTTTAATGAAATAAATCTCCACAAAAGATTGAATATCTCCGAAACTGCTCGGCCGGTTGAGCCCATCCAGAATACCAATCTTTAATATTGTAAAAGCTACAATAATGCCAAATTTCAACTTGCTATTTTCATTTCTTCTCAAAATATTCGTGCGTACAAGAATGAAAAAATGAAAAAAACGAAAAAACGGGAATATTTTGGATTGCTTTTGATTGATCTAGATAGAAGCCGTTGTAACACGTACAGTCAATACTTTATATAAGATACCTTAGAGACAGTAAGAGAGTGAAATTCTGGGAATTCGTATACCCCCACTACGCGCGCTTGTAGAGGAGAAAAATAGGGATCAGCGATTTTAAATAAGACACCTCGCTCGTTGTGCCCGAATTCTGTGGAATTGCCATTTTTACTGAATGGATATTGATAACTAATCAATTTATACGAGTTTAATGTTTTGAATTCGTATAGCCCGCGTTCTCTTTTTTCTCTAAACATAAACCCGCGTGATAGAATGGCAGCTAATGTTGAGGGATTGTTGGGGGACTTGAGAATAATCACTTCTGGACAGCTGAAGTACAAATTATTGACAGTAAATAAATTAATTGAATTTTAATTGGGCTTTATTCTATTAAGATAATTCTGCGTCATCATTTTAATAATTATAGCGTCGAAGAAAAGAGGTGACCCTTGGGATCGTTTAACTCGTCTGATTACTTCACTTGACTCTCACGTTTGAACTCTTGACCCTTAAGGTCATTTGACCCTTATGATCACTTCGTTCGTCACTCCCGTTTGACCCTTAACTCCGTTTGATCCTTGCAATCACTCTTTTTCCGGTGAAAAATTATCAAGGCTATAGGTATCTTATAAGAAGCCCACGGAACTAAACATTCGGGAGGCGATAAAAGTGCCGAGAGTGGGGGGTAGGCCTCGAGCGCTCGATGCTCGAGGTGTCTTATAGAGAGGTACCTTATATGAAGACTTAACAGTAAAAGGGTCGGATACTAAGTGTGAGAATATAAGGGTTAAAAAGTGGAGGTTAAAAAATGAGGGTCGGAATATTAGAGTCAAAAACTGAGGGCCTGAATGTAAAGGTGAAGGAATGAGGGTCAGAATATAAAAATAAAAAAAGTGCCGTCAGGCAGTGAGGGTCATATAAGGGCTAAAAACGGTGATCAAGCATAATATATGACGTATATTCTGATCCTCATTTTTTAAGTAATTCATAAATAAATAAAAGTCACTGAATAAAAATTGAAAATTCCTCAACCGCTTCTCCTCCAAACCACTCAGAAACTTCAGTTCTTCACCACTTCACCACTGACATAATTTATTGGATTTTTTAATTCGAATCTCCTCATTATTAATAAAATATCTATGTATTTACGAACCATCGAAGCAGTCATTGGGCGAAAACCGGCGCAACAAGTTGACACGAGTTAGAATAAGATAGGAAACGGGGGAGAAAAAGCATTCAACTTGATTCTTAAATTACACGAGACTCGAATGGAGGAAGGAGTGAAGCACGCTCGACACTCGTCACTGCCGCCGAGTGAATATCAACTGAAGCCACTAGATTTCTACGCACATCCTACAACTCCGATCAGCGCTGCTACTCGCATTAGCGGTTCGGCCGGTCTCCTTGATGAAACTACGAGTTACCGCGGCTATTGGTTCATGAAATACTCCTCTGGCGGCTAGCTATAAGTTTAAGCTCCGTTTTATCCGCACACCCGAACTAGGATTTAAGTAGTATAAACATAACTTGAATTTTAAGGGGAGACTACTATGAATTTTAAAAGTCGTGGGTTATTGGAGTGAGACTTTTCACACGTTGAATATCGATTATATAGATCTGAAAACGAATAGGATGAACCAACCAGTGTTCGAACCAGACCAGTAATCGAACTAATTGGTACTTTTTCTATAAAATAAATTGGAAGAAGGTGGAGATTCCTCACATTATACATGAAAAATAAAATTATGACATTTCCAAATGATATTGTGATGATTGAAAATGTCTAAGTTACATTATTACCAGCGGAAAAAACAGTTTTCGATGACACGCCGCCAATAGCATATTCCCATTACAGAATACGCAGTTCGATTACTGGGTTTTCACACATTTTCAGCTTTTTGTATTCATATCATTAATTGTATCGTCAATTAATATCCATAATATTTTTTTCTATTGTCTATGGAGATGTACAGGGGAGTCATAATTATTTTTAAATCAATTTTCAACTTGGTTATATTTTTAAATCTACGTCAAAAATAACTGTGACATTATTCGTTCGAACACTGGACGATTCACCCTAATTAGTGCACAAAAAAAATGTTTTTATTGTTCGTTTCATTGCCCTGCTCCTGGGGTTTCTTAGATTTTGCAAACGGTGCCTAAATCGATTCAATAATGTGTCAAAAAATCTTCATAAAATTGGCTGCATTTTTTGAATATCCTATTCTTCGCCCGATTATCCTTAAGGTAACATTTTTAAGGTTTTCTGTGGAAATTCCATGCAAGAACGGGAAAAATTTGCTTGCTACTGAAGAAAATTTCCAGTGCCGGCACTGGATTTTTTTTGTGAATTTCTCTCCACGTAGAAAAAATTTGAAGAAATAAAATGAAAAATTTATGTGCAATATAAAAATTATCGTCAGTGTTAAACATTAGTAATAAATAATTTATGTTTTTCTGCGTTCTCGAAATGGTACGTTATCTCAACACACCATAGTCAAACGGAAGACTATTGCAAAAAAAAAATCATTGAACAAAGAATTTGATGGATCAATTTCATCAAAGTTACTATTAATGGAAAAAATTATCAATCATTAATTTTTGTTTTGTTTTGAATTTATTCTTCCTCTTTGCACTCAACGAATCAACTGGAGTTTATTCATACTACGTTAAAGCGATTCATCATGACTGACGTGTGTTTATAATCTGGCGAAGGAGGGACTCTCGGGCAACCCTTCATTGGTATCAGTTCTCGCGAGTTCATTATATTGTATTTATATGTCGTTCATGTAGCATGTCTTATATGTATGAAACCAGTGGAATTATTGAGTTTATATAGGTCAGACTTTGAGGCGATGGGGGTCTTTATTTGTAGAATTTTTAGGACGCAAATTGCTCGGGGTCGATGACTTTCGACATGCATTTTTTTTCACTCACGAAAAAATTTCATACAAAAGCTTGGCGAATCCTATTGGATTTCTATTGACAATTTTTCCCGTCTAAATTTTAGCCAACAGAATTGTACTATTCGACTGTTATTTTATGTAGTCAATATGGTATTCAACTGATAATTTTTGATAAATCCACTGGAAATTTTACATGTCGATTTATATCAGTAGCGAAGTGGTAAAACGGTTTAAGTCGACTTATCTCCCAGTTGAGTTTTTGAGGAATATTTCCGAATCTAAGGGAGATAGCGAAATTTTCGTAATGACATTTGTTGTAGCTCTCAATCGGCTCTATAAAAAATGTTATAATAAAAATGTTGCTATCTCCTTTAGATTCCGAGATATTAAGTGAAAACTGGTCTAACGAGTGAGCCCCTCGTTGGGACTGACAGATGGATTTCGTCTCATAATGCAATTCTCTCGGCCGAAATTTGGATGAAAAAATTCTCTTCCAAATACCATACGAGCTTCAAAATCAAACCGGTATTTTGCTCAAGGTTCCCTACATACAAACGAACCTATTGGAAAATACCTGATAACTTTGAAGCTATTGTGGTATTACATACGAAAATTCTTTTGCTCGGTCCTGTCGAAAAATTCCGTAACTTCAGAACCTTTTTTTTTGTAGGAAAAATCAGTACAATTACATTTTTCTACACAACTTTTTCTACTCAGACCAATTGGACTGAGTTGGTCGCTCGCTTCGCTCACTCCCATTGCGTGTGAGCTGAAGTGGGTGTGACCCATTACGGGTTATACCAATGACTTTCCGACGAATTCCCATTGCTTTGGTTGATAGAAAAAGCAAATTTTGAAATTTCCATCCGGATAACGCGAAAACGGCTGAGACGCTTTTGCTCACATCCACTCAAATTCGAATGACACGTCGATGCATCGATTGAAAAAAAAAATTCAAATCGCATCATTACTCGGGAATAAATAAAGGAATATGTGAAAAAAACATTATTTTTTGTGTTTTTTCACACGTTTCTTGCGAATTACCAAAGAACTGCTGACGCGATCGTCTTCAGAGATAGGAAAAATCGTAATACAGAATTAAAATTATTTTATTATACACAAAATTAGGTAACTGTATTGTACAATTTTTCAAGTTTTATTAAATTTATTATCATTCAACATTTTCATTTTTTCAAATATTTTATAAATAATAAACAACTTTGCAAGAATGATGATTATTCGATTAATTAAAAAATCAAAGTCAGATATTTAGAATAAATTATCCAATTATAATTGAGAATTAAAAATTATATTCAAATTTGAATCAAAAAGTAGTGAACTTTGATTAATCTACGGTAAATTCCTTTCAAAATTACTGATCCTTGATCCTTGATCGTCTTCACAAACTGATCAGTTCTAAGTGACCCGAAGATGCGACGAAAGAAAAATCAAATTGCACCGTTTGTTCAAGAGAAACTATTTCCCAAAAATGTTTGCGTCACATAGATTCGCACGCACACACCCAGACGGACAGATATATGTCCAAAAACATCACAGAAAGATTGGAGGAGTCATGAAACGTGGAAAAATCATTAAATTTCCACTTTTGATTTTCAGGGTCATTGCAATAACTCTCCCTTCGGCTCGGGCAATTGAAAAATCAAACAAAATTTTTAGAAAATACCTTCAGACAATAGTCAACTGATGATTCCGCATTTCCCAAATTGTCGACATCATCACTCACGCACCCCGTAATCAGTTTTGAAAACTGCGATCGCGGTATCAGCGGACCCAGTCAGCCTGACGATATTCCCACTGTTGCATCATCCCCAGTCAATCAATCTCTGTTATGGCATAAGCATTCACTTATCAATCAATTTCCGAAGACGATTAGTGACAGTCACCGGAATAAATCGTCCAGCATTGGCCTGAATTGACTCGCCGACTGCATCAATTAAAACGAAAACTTTAACTTGAAAAAAAATTAAAACATAAACGTTGACGACATCGAATGAGTTCCGCTCGATACCGCAGTGGAATCGAATTTTCGCTGATAAATGGGTCTCAGGGGACGGCAGTTAATGCTCGATATGCGGGACCACACGTGGCGCCTAACAACAGTCGGTCACAATCATCTTTAACCATCCAATAAATTCTCAGTCATTTCGTTGACCTCTGGCACTTTGTTCACTAGCACATGTGCGCATTTTTATCACTGATGATTATGCGGGTGAAAGAGACAAGGTAAGAGCCATCACTGGTATCAACCAAGGCGCCAAACCCTGACCTTACTCGTAAAAGCTCACTTATACACTTTCCCTCGCTTCGATCTATTCCACGTGCGCTATATAGCAGAGTCTAGTGGTGGCGGAAGTCTTGACCCTTCCCATGCTATTCGTTTTAATCATTTTTTTACGGAACCGGTGGAATTTTTTGGATGAAAATATAATAGAGAACTAATTCTCTAAATTATTTTGCTGGCGAATTTTTTAGATTTTTGGGGGTTCAATATTTAAGGAATGGTCTGTTTTCAAGCGCAGAAGGTCTATAATTTTACGAGCGCGAACTCTTCCGCCTTCGGGTTGCAGAGGGCAGCAGCTCTCAATCGTCTCACGACGAATTCAAATTTTATTTAAGGGGAAACGGAACCCCTGTGTCTATATGATCTTTTAGAATTGTATTTTCTCCTGCAATTATTATTTTTTATTTGTGAAACTACTTCATGGACTCGACAATGCAATGATCCAGTCGATAACGTAATTTCATAGATATAAAGTAACAATTGTAACAGAAATCACAATTCTAAAAATTCATATAGACACACGGGTTCCGCTTCCCCTTAAAGTAGCTCTACCCTTACGGTAAATTCAAAGATTATTGAAAAGTGCAAAAAAATTGCAGAAAACTCGATTAGATTCGGAATTCTAATTTTTTTCTCAATTTAATTATCGTTTTGGGTTTTCAAAGAAGAAATGTTTGAAAATCAGGATTTAACGCAGTGTCTTATGTGAATATCAACATTTCCATTGTAATCGAAGATTAAAATCTGAATTTTTTTTCATCAGATGGGAAAAAATCAAGAATTTTTTTGACACCTCATAAAAAATAATCCACCGTTTTGCAAACAAGTTTTATTATTTATTTACAAGAGGGAAGTTTGAAAAAATATCAATATATTGCGAAATTGAATTTAGATAATACTGACTGGGTATGAATTTTTTAAATTTTGTCCATGCAATTTAGTTGAAAAATTTTAAAACTGAAAATATCCAAAAGTACAGCGAAACCCGGCCGAAGGGTAGTGCTACTTTAACGAATTAACGAATACCTGAATACTTTCGTTTATTAACGAATATTTATTTGGTCATATTCAATTCTACCATTCGTTAATAGTTAACGAATCTCATTCGGAATGAATGAATCATTCTATCAGTGTGAAATAAAATAAAGATTCATGAAATGAAAAAAAAACATTGAAAAAAAAACGAAATAATTATGTTCAGAATAATAATCATAGCCATTATGACCGCGACTACGATTATTTCTATTATTATTTTTATCTTTTTTTCCTGTTGTTAATTCAGTCCAATGTAGAGGGCATTACCATTTTTATCCTCTTCAAAATGCTTTCGTTCTTCGTCAGGCTAATGAAGAAGTTGATTAGAAAATTGCAAAAAATCAATATCAAGTGTTCGTTACGTCGATTAAAAAAATTTATGAATAAATGAAATTTATTTACTCATGTGCGATATCCTTCTCTCAATCCCATACATATATCAAGGTCAAACAACGCTTATATGCTACTTTTATGCAATCACTTGAGCATCACGCGTTGACAGATCAGCCACAATTGCGCGTACATGAATGCTCTCTCAGTTAATCTGTACCGTTCAGTCTAATCTAAAATATTTGAGCAGACAGTCGAACCTCGAGTCAACAGTTCAACGGTTTCACATGTCAATACGAGAGGGATAATAATAATAAGTCTCAGTTATCGTTCGGTCGTTCGATCATTTCGAGTTCTATTATTAAGAGTGGTCTTAATTGAAAGCTTAATTGTTATGGCATCGAAAAAATTTATCAATTCGGTTGATAATGTTGTCCATGAGACACTGACTGGATGGTGCGCTGTTTATCCGGGATTGAATTATCATTCATTGAAGAGAGTTGTAGTTGGTTCAGATGTATGTATATTTTCTGTATTGTTTCTCATGATTCCTCGTTGGGAAATTGGCGTTCGGTACTTGCCAAACTCCGAAACTTGGTAATCACTATGACAATCTTGTTCTGAGCCTTTGCGATACCGGGTTTTTTATTCGTGCGGTTGGTCATCCTCGCCTTCGGCTCGGTTGCCAATTCCACGCACGTGTTGGGCGGGTAAAATCACACTAATCTACCTAGGGCCAGTTTTTGGTTCAGCTAGCCACGGATAAACCTCGGCTAAAGTTAAAGTAGCGCTACCCTTTGGCCGGGCTACGCTGTACTTTTGGATATTTTCAGTTTTTAAATTTTTCAACTAAATTGCATGGAAAAAAATTAAAAAAATTCATACCCAATCAGTATTATCTAAATTAAATTTCGCAAAATATTGATATTTTTTCAAACATTTCTCTCTTATAAATCAATAATAAAACTTGTTTGCAAAACGGTGGAATATTTTTTATGAGGTGTCAAAAAATTCTGGATTTTTTCACATCTAATGAAAAAAAAATCAGATTTTAATCTTTGATTACAATGGAAATGTTGATTTTCACATAAGACACTGGGTTAAATCCTGATTTTTTAACATTTCTCCTTTGAAAAACCAAAACGATAATTAAATTGAGAAAAAAATTAGAATTCCGAATCTAATCGAGTTTTCTGCATTTTTTGCAGTTTTCAATAATCTTTGAATTTACAGTAAGGGTAGAGCTACTTTAAGTTATCTCCGGGTAAAGATCCCCGATTGGTCGGGCTCAGTAGTGGGGGGTATTAACTTTACTTTAACCACGAATTAATCGCGGTTAAGTTGAACCAAAAACTGTTAACTCTGGATTAAGATATCCGATTGGGCGGGGCTATTAACTTAAGGTATGTCCCTAGACACCACGTTTTTCTTAAGATTTTCCCCATGTTTTTCAAAGATAATGTTTATAATAGTCCCCAGATGTTGAAAAAAATGCTAACCAACTGTACAGCACAGTTTGAAAGATAATCAATAATGAAATCCGAGTTTCTAACACGCGAGACATAGGCCAAATACGGGGGTGTTATGTCGGGAATGATGAAATCTCGACTATAACATTGGTTGTCATGTGAAAATGACATGAAAAGCATGAAAACTTTTGAAATAAATTTTAATTGGCAAATGTTAGAAAACAAATCACTAGAGAGTTGAATAATAAGGTCCCCTTGAATTGAAGTTAATATTCCCCAGTATTATCAATGGGAAAGTGTCTTGGCTGGAAACACACGGCGTTAGTTTTAAATAAAAGAATTTTGAATCTGAACAATTATATTCTGAAATTTTGGTGAGTTTACAATTATAATGATGGTCGTACAACTTACGTGACCTTCTTCTCGTTGTGCTTGTACAGGTTTGTCGTACAATGATGAAATAATGGTTATTCCGTAGAGAAAATTATTTAGGAAAAATGGATTATAAAGCATTTTTCGACGGATGTCACAGGGGTTATCGGTCCCCCCGAAATCGATTATGAAAAAGCTTGTGAGAAATCTTATGAGAAAGAAGTTCTTACGATGTTCTTAAAAAGCTCATCCGTGATACATTGATAAAATCCGATAGTTTCTGCGGTATTCATCTTTAAAAAATGACAATTTTGTGAAAGCATTTCTTATTTGATTCAAACAGTTGTTGTTGCCTGCACGGAGAGAAATTTTTTAGAAAAATTCTAGTGCTAGCACGGGAAAAGAGGCGCAAAGTGACGGCCAGGAAAAAATTCCAGTGCCGGCACTAGAAATTTTATTGGGGAAAACGTGAATTTTTCCCTGTATTTCTGAAAGAATTTCACGGAAATCCCCAGAAATTTTACCTTAACAACGCTAGAATTTTTCACAGCCGGTGAATTGTGATTTTTTCCAGTACTCATACTACAATTTTTCTAGAAAATTTCTCTCCGTGTGCATCAACAATACATGAGGATAAAAAAACTCAATAACTTATGAGAATTCAATAAATTAAATCATTTAGATTTTGTTCCGGAAATTCATAGAGACTAACTTCTGGGTCCGATTGTCTTGGGATATACTTCAACTTGAACCATGAGTTAACGGTGATTAACAAACAAAAAACTGGCCCATTTAGAAAGTGTCCTTTCTTTTTTCTTCAAATTTAGTTAAAGAGAAGAGACAAAAAGGAGTGAAAAGACTAGGAAAATTTATGTCGAAATTCCTATAGAAAATGTCGCAATCGAAAAAGCTGTATACAAAGATGAAATTCTATTTTTTCTATAGAATATTTTTGACTGGCAATTTTCTATTTAAAAATCGCACAACAAAGCTGCGGTTTTTTTAATAGAATCGGCGAAAAAAATTGAATTTATAATAGACGTTCAACACAGATTCAATAGAATTTTCTAGCGAATTCGCTCGGTTTTCCTATAAAATTTCAGTCACTCGTTGCATACTCCGATTATTATCAAATTGTTTTAGCCTATAAATATTGAATATTCATTCAATTGTGGAGTGATTACATCAACCGAACATGTTAAACTCCGAGAAAATTCAATTTCAATGTTACCGAGATTTTTTGCTTCAGTTTAATTCTTCCATTCATCCTATTGAACTCTAATGTAATTCGTTGTTTTTCTTCTCTTTCTAGTATAATGGAAGAGACACAAAAAAAGTATCCATTATCTCTGGTGGAGGGAGTGGACACGAGCCCTTTACTGCAGGTGTCGTTAATTATTTCCTCTCTCGTCCTCATGTATTGTTTGGTTCTCTCGTAATGCAATTTCCCGAGTGAATGCTTTACTTTCAGGATTTGTCGGGAGCGGAATGCTCAGTGCTAGCGTCGCTGGCTCTATTTTTGCTGCACCACCACCTAATCACGTTCTCCATGCACTTAAATGTGTTCGAGGAGATGGTACATGAATTCAATCAATGCAATCAAGGAACTAACACAGTACATTTTGTCATAAGCCCGCGGTCGTGAGAATAAAATGACAGAGTTCTCAAACAAGTCATAAAAAATATTCCAAATGAAAGCTGATTTTGTTTAATGCCGTTCTAACCACGGGAGATAAAATAAATTTTGAAGCCGTCAATTAGTTAACATCACTCTTAAATTTTCAATTATTTATGTAATCATCAATTTAAATATTCAAATTCTGAATTATTTTATTGATCAATAATTTAGGTGGGAAGATTGACAATTATCTGGTTAATCGAAAATCCCTTTTACGAAATCAGAATTATTTACTTAATGGAAATTTACAGTTCCATATTATCAAATATTTAACATATCATCAATCGGAAATTTAAATTATTAATATTATGCTGTTTTTAAATTTTGATGAGCATATTTAAACCTTTATCGATGTAAGTCAGAAATCCTTTTAATGTTGAAGAAATGTAATATTGATGGCCATCCCTGCCGTGAAGCACCACCCACGGACTGAGTGGCAATGATAATGGAAAAGACGAAAAACTGAACCAAAAATTCATGATTTTAGAAATAGTAAATTTTGATATGATGTTTTTCTCTCATATTAATTTATAATATCGTAATTCGCCATGCCTCAAATTCCCCACCGAATTTCCCTGCAATTCTGTATGAAAGTACAAGGAAAATCACGTCAAATATGACACGTTCACTAATTGATAATTCCTCCCAACCCCTCTCATTTCCGTAATAATAAAAAAAATTGAAAATTCTTGATTACGAAATTCCAGCCGGCACTTTAGTAATCATTCCGAATTACACTGGAGACTGTTTGAATTTCGGTATTGCAATCGAAAGAGCTAGGCAGGAAGGTCTGAAGGTAATTACCAAATGAAGTCAATAATTTGATTATTTTTAATAAATTTGCAAATATCTTGAATTTAGGGTCGTTGGGAAAAATAAACTTTTTTCGATACGAATAGTAAAAATAAAAATTTTTCATCACACTGTCCGTAATAAAAACGTTGTTTTCGACACGTTGTTTTACGAACATTGTGAAGAAAAATTATGTTCGTCACTCGGCCGAACACAATTTTTTTGATTCGTGTGCACGGACAGGAATTTTTTATAAAAATTCTAGTGCTAGCACGGGAAAAGAGGCGCAAAGTAACGGCCAGGAAAAAATTCCATTGCCAGCACTAGAAATTTTATTGGGAAAAACGTGAATTTTTCCCCGTATTTCTGTGAAAATTTCACAGAAATCCCCAGACATTTTACCAAAAATACCAAGAAATTTTACCTTAACAGCACTAGAATTTTTCACAACCGGTGGATTGTGATTTTTTCCGGTACTCGTACTAGAATTGTTCTAGAAAATTTCTCTCCATGTGATGGCATTCCTCGGCTTCGTCTCGATCTCCAACCTTCACTCTCATCAGAAAATTTGTTTTCTGTCTTGTGACGAAAATAGCTATTTCGATACGAGTGCGTAATAGTATATTTCGTTACGAGTGCGGAAAAGTGTTTTTTGGCTCGTGGGAGGTTTATAGCACGAGCCGAAGGCGAAAAAACACGTTTCCCACGAGTATCGAACGATATTTTTCATCACAATGTGCGGAAAAGGGACGTTTTAGGCACGCGAAGCGTGCCTAAAGAGTTACTTTTTCGCACATTGTGATGAAAAAGTATTTTTTGATCCGTGGGACTCGCCGGAGGCGAGTGCTACCTTCCCCGAAATAAAAAACATCTTCCCACGAGTGTCAAACCCTATTTTTTCATCACAATGTGTTCACTTTGCGCACAAGTGCTGAAAAAAATGATCAGATTGCAGAAATAGTAATTGGCGAGGACTGCAGCATTCCCAGTACCGAACAAGGCAGAGCAGGAAAACGAGGACTTGTGGGCATGCTCTTCGTGATGAAAATTGCAGGAGCCCTCTCACAGAGAAGTAAATCACTGGAGGAAATTCATCAACATGCTAAAATTGTTTCTGAAAACATTGCGACGTACGGAGTCGGCTTGAAGGCTTGCGCTCTACCGGGACAAGGACCCATGTTCACATTACCAGATGATGAGATGGAAGTCGGTCTGGGGGTTCATGGCGAGGCTGGATACAACAGAATGAGGATTAAGGAGGCGAGGGACATTGTTGCCATTATGTTGGAAAAAATTTGCCAGTCATTGTCGTTGAGGGAGGGAGACGATGTCGCTGTTATCATCAATAATTTCGGAGGTACCAGCCAACTGGAGCAGGGGATTGTGGCTCATGAAGTGGTTGATCAATTGAGTGAGTTTGTTAATTATTTAGCAGAGGTACAAAGCAGAAAGAAGGCTTTCGTTAAAGTAAAATTTCGTTTTTTGCTTCCGAATGGAAACTTTTTAATCGGTTGATTTTTCCATTCTCTATTTTTGCTTGGAGATGACTTAGAATGACATGAAACGTCGAGATGAAATGTTTTTAGGATATGTCTGCGTTTACGTCCGAATGTGCGTGCAAAATTCTGGGATTTTTTTTGTAAATTTTCACAAAATTGGATTAAAGTGATAGATAAAAATCTGAAATTTCGGCTCATAATTGATATTATTTGGGAGCACATAAATTCGCGAATACACTTTCTTCTACTCTTTAAATTATTTTGACAAGTTTTTAATAGTTGAATTTTTGATTTCGAGTGAGATTGTTAAAATGTTGAGAACTAGTTAGTATCATCGAGTTGCACTCCTGTATAAAATTTCAGATTGATCGATTAAATACATTTTGAAATAGAGCAGTTGATGTAAAAAACGTTTTTCGCATAAAATGACATATCGTTGGTAGTTTATAAACTTAATTTGGTGCCCGTTTTAGAAAAGAAGAGAATAAATCCAGTGAGAATTTACTCTGGAGTGCTCATGACATCTCTGGACAGTTCTGGAGTCCACGTATCTATTCTGAAACTCCCTCAGGCTCATAGAGATCTCTACATTCAGTGCTTGGATGACCCCACTGAAGCTCCCTGCTGGCCAGGATGTAAATACAGTTTGCCCTCGAAATCAACTACACAATTTGGAGAGGAGAGTCATGCAACTGTTCCTAAAATGGGGAAACAACTCGGAAATGAGGCGACTAGGATTTTAAAGGAATGCTTGAGGAATGCTTGTGAGGCAATTGCCAAGAATGAAGAGAAATTAAATAATTTGGATCGTGGGTGTGGAGATGGGGATTGTGGATCTACTCATAAAACACTAGCTGATGGTGAAGATAATCCAGTATTTCAGTCAAACATTTTTCATCGTAATTATGGTATTTTCTTTTGCGACGAATGAAGTGACAACACTTTTGAAATTCAAGGGAAATGGTGGGAGCAGATGAATTAATTTGCCTTATAAAAAAATTTCTCTACCAATTCTTTCCAATTTTTTATAAAAAAACATTTTTGTTGGGTTGCAGAGAGGATTACCATGATATTTTCCCTATTTTTCTCCAATTTCTGAATATTTTTCAAAGGCTCATCTCCCCACGTATGAAAAAATTCAATAGAAAAACCTAGCGAATTCGCTAGATAATCCTATTGGATTTCTATTGAACTTTCTATTAGTTTTTGATCGATTTTGTTAAAATGTCCAATAGAAACTATTCTATAGAAAAAGTCGATTGATTTTTTGATATTGAGATATTTTCTATAGAATTTTCTCGGCTCAAATTTTCCATTTTTTTTTTGCTTTATTTTCTTGATGATAAAATGGAATGAAAAAAACTTGGACAATTAGAGTCGAGGAAATTCTATAGAAAATTCAATAGAAATCCAATAGAATTGTCTAGTGATCTCGCTAGGTTTTTTCATTAAATTTTTGCTTGTGTGGATTTTTCTCGAACATTTGTCTATTTTCTAGATAATTCTATCCACATATTACAAGAAAAAAAATTTTCTGCCAACTGATAAAAATTTCTTTGTTCGAAAATGAACGCAAAAAAATTGTAGAAAACCTAGAACATTCGCTAGAGAATTTTATTGAACTTCTGTTGAAAATTCTGTTAGTTTTTGGCGAATTCTATGGAATGTTGATTATAAAATATTTTATAAGAAAAATAAATAAAATTATATTTTTCTAAACAAATGATTCTATTGAGATATTTTCTATAGAAATTCCTCGACTCAAACCTTCAAATTTGTTTATTATTATTTTTTATGAGAAGGAAAAAATAAAGTGAAATCAACCTAGAAAATTTATGTCGAGGAATTCCTATAGAAAGTGTTTCAATAGAAAAAACTGGTATCGAAAGATCACATTCTTTCGGATGTTTTCTTAAAAAATACGCGCAATAGAGCTGCAAATTAATTTCTATAGAATCGGAGAAAAATCAGATTTTCAGTAAAAATTCAATAGAATTTTCAAAAAATTGACTAGGCTTATCTATAAACTATTTTCATACGTACAGGAATTATTTCATCATTGGAAACATTGAAAATATCTCACCCTGCTTCTGCACTGATCGAGCTCTCTAGAATTGCTGAGGAGCACATGGGAGGTACCTCAGGGGCTGTTTATAGTTTATTCTTCGCAACAGCTGCAGCAGCACTGGCTAAAAATTCGTCTGAGGACAACTGGACGAAATTGTTGGCTAACGCCTGGAGGAGCGGTATTGATGGAGTGATGAGGTACAGTAAAGCTCAGCTTGGAGATAGAACAATGGTGAGAACAATCCCTGATTCCGAATTTTTACATTGGGGAGGGTGGAGCAAAATGAAACAGTCAAAAAACGACAGTTTGACGCAATTCAAGCAAAACAATTTTTTTTTTATTAAATTTTTTTTACCAACTTTTTTTCTATTCTTGGGAGTGCTGATGAGAATAATAACTTTCTATTCAGTGGGGTGGAAAATTATTGAAAAATTTTGACGAACGAAGATTTTGTCAATGGATTGACAAATCCATTATCAATTTGAAAAAAAATCTCAATTGAACAGAAAATGAAACAGCAAAATCCAACGTCCAGACCCAGAGGGAGGAAAAACGAAAATGTGATGCTGAATTTCAATCGAAGGAGAAAAGAAAAGTGTAATCGGTCTTATCTAATCAATTGAATTATAAGACGAATAGAAAATTGTTATTGTCATCAGTACTCCCAATAATAAAAAACGTTAATAAAAAAATTTTGTTTGCTTGAATTACGTCAAATAGTCGTTTTTCGGCTGTTTTATATTGCCCCACTCCCCTGTAAATAATTAACAATTATTAATACTTTTGAATGGATTCTTCTTCAAAATGTTTGTCTGAAGATCAGCTTTTTAGAAAGAAATCAGTCAGAAGATTCCTAACATCGATTTTGCTGGCTTTTGGTTTTACGGGTTTACGGTTTTACGTTATATTTCTTGCTTATTCATTCCAGTTAGATGTCTTGGAACCAGCTTGGAAAGCATTCAACGATAATTCAACGAAATCCCTCAAAGAAGCACTCCAGGCCGCAGCAGAAGCTGGACAAAAAGGCTGTGCAGCAACTGAGAAAATGCTCCCCAAGTAAGTCGTCGTGAGAAATAGATTCTCACATTGAAGCTTCATCTCTTTAATTAAATAAAACCACTAAGGAATCGAATTAAGGATATTTACCCATTTTTGGAAAATCTAATTTGGCTTTCGAGTGGGAGCTTTTGAAATCGCTCAAATTTGAGTATCCAATTTTTTTTGTGCTAAACAAAATAACTAAGTATCCTCTAAAGAACCAAATATGCGATTTTTATATGATGTTTGTTTGTAATGTATGTATGTAGTGTTTTTTTTCATTATTTCGAAATCTTATATAGGATCAATCGAATTTCATGAATTTTTTCATTCATGAAATTCCACTGTTAAAAATTTTCGCCTGAAGAAGAGAATAGTGAAAAAAGAAAATCCATTCGGAAGCAAATTGCTAATTTATTAGTATAACTATACTCATTTATAAAAAAATATATCCACTCGTTTTTTATGTTCGAGGAAAATTTGGGATTTTGGATAAACATTCTTAAGAATTATGAAAGATGATCCCAACCCTCTTGTATAATCAACAATTTCTCTGATAGGGTAAACAGGTCAATTTCTGGACGGGTAGTTTCTGGACGACTTCAACTTGTATTGAAAATTCCCTAAATAAAGTGAAAATTATACTGATTATTTTACCTTTTAATAATATTACTCGTGTATAATCATGTGATCGGTTTTGTTTTATTGATCGATATTTAATAAATAAAAACAATATGGCCCAGTCGTCCAGAAATTAGGGATTTCGGCTGCATTCAATTATTTCTTAATTTAATTATTCTTTGTATTGTTATTTTCACTTTAAATCATTTTTTCTGCCCATTAAAACATTCTGGAAGGTATAGAAGCCATCATATCCCCATTTAGGTGATTCTTTTATTTTAGATCCTACCACGAAATTTCCCTCAACCGTCTAGCAATTGGCCTGTTCACCCTATTTCACTCATGAGAATCCTTTTAATTAATCTTTACAGAGCTGGGAGAGCATCCTACGTGAAAAATACGGATTTCCTCACAAACGTCGATGCTGGAGCGTTCGGAGTCGTGATCTGGTTGACAGCAGTGTCAGAAACAATATCGAAACTTCAATAAAGAGAAATTAAAATAATAAGACAGTTTGTATATAAAAAGCCTCTTTGGTTTACAGAATTTAATATCATGAATATTTTACACATTTATATCGAGAATCAGGGAATACAAATGTTCTAACAATGATTTTTATGAAAAATCAGTAGAGAACTGGTCTCGCACATCTTACATTTCCTCAGTAATAAATGATTGAATACCAATTTATCAAGAGACTTTTCTACAGGAAATCTCCTCAACATTCGCCTCTCGATTTTTTCCCCAAAATCATTCATCCTCGAGATGTTTGACCCACAATAACAGCCACTCCTCACTAATTCCCTACCAATTCCTCTTGTTACGTTTCAGTTCCATCCGTACAATTAAATTAAAAAATGGATTACACGTGTGAAAAAATTTAATAGAAAAATCTAGCGAATTCGCTAGACAATTCCATTGAATTTCTAGTGAACTTTCTATTTTCTTGTTTCATTTTCTATAGAAAATATCTCAATAGAATAAGTTGGATAGAAAAAAAATTATCTACTTCTTGATTAAATTCTATTGACTTAGTCTATAGAATATTTTCTATTGACCGTTTCATTTGTCGAATTCGCTAGGTTTTTCTATTAAATTTTTTTTGTACGTGTCTACATGTATTCATACGAAACTTGTATTGTAAAATGAAATAATAGTAGGGGAGAGTGGGGCAACATGAAATAGTCGAAAATACGACTACTTGCAATTCAAGCAAAAAAAAATTATTAACCATTTTTTAATAACTTTTGTTTATCATTGGGAGTATAAGAAAAATAAAAAAAGTTCATGAAAAAAAATTTTTTTGCTTGAATTCAGTAGGGAAGCGGTAAACCGGGTTAAGTCGATTTTGACTTTTGGCCAGTTTTTGATGAATATCTCAAAACCCAAGAGAGATAGCACAATTTTTCTCATGACCTTTTTTATAACCCTCAATTGGCTCTACAAAAAGGGTCATGACAAAATTTTTCTATCTCTTTTAGATCCCGAGATATTCGTCACAAACTGGCCAATAATCAAAATCGACTTACCCCGGTTTACCGCTTCGCTACTGAATTTCGACAAATGGTCGTTTTTCAGTTGTTTCATTTTGCCCCACTCTCCCCTGAGGAAACCACGTTCATTCACTGTTAAACACTCTGACATACTTGAAAAATTCACACTGCTCACATTAATCGACTTTGTCTAGCGCCTCGAGACGCTCCAGTAGGGGTGGATGACTGTGATGCCATCCCGAGTATAATTTATCGAATAACGGATAGGCCAAATTATCCTTCTGCAATTTAACTAGAGCACGTTTGAGTGCTGCGGCGTGGCCGAGTTTCTTTCCGAATTCGTCAGCTTGGAATTCAAATCTACGAGAATTCACTGTCATCAGGAATCCGAAGAGCTGCAAGGGGAAAATTCAGCATTTAATTGATTGAATGGTCCTTGTGAGTGGCAACGCGGACGAAAAAATTTAATAGAAAAACTATTGAATTTCTATTGAACTGTTCTATTAATTTTTGGCCGATTCTATTGAAATGTTCAATAGAAAATATTCAGTAGAAAAAGTCAATAGAATGCTATTTTTCTATATAACTTATTCTATTGAGATATTTTCTATAGAATTTCCTCGGCTAAAATTTTCCAAGTTTTTTCGTTTGATTTTCTTGATGAGAAGAAAAGAAAAATAGAATGAAAAAAAACAGAAAATTTGAGTCGAGCAAATTCTATAGAAAATATATAAAAAGAATAAGTTATATAGAAAAATCGAATTCTGTTGACTTTTTCTACTGAATATTTTCTATTGAACATGTCAATAGAATCAGCCAAAAACTAATAGAAAGTTTAATAGAAATCAATAGAATTTTCCAACGAATTCAAAAGGTTTTTCTATTAAATTTTTTTATGCGTGAAATGGGGAGGAATAATTGAAGGGGGGAGTTATTACCGTGTTGAGGGGAGTGAGGATGTACATCGTGACGATGATGAGTCCAATGAAGATTGGCTGGCTGTTGGTGAAGCCAAAGGCTACGTACATTGGTGCGTAATTGATTAGTTTGGCGAAGGGAATGAAGTTCATGATGAAACTTATCTGTAAAGGTTTCACAGAAAATTGATTATTTATTTTTGGCTAGACTATTGCGATTAATTTTTGTTAACACCAAAGAATTTAGTTTCATATGTGCTGCTATCAGCCAAAAAAATTATAGAATTTTTCTTGAACATGAAAAAACAAGATTTATAAATTTGAACGATTCCATTTGAAAGAAAAAATGGATGGAAATCCTCATAATCAATTCACCTGAGCTAGCATAAGTCCCTGCAATGTATGGCTATACTTCCAGTGTCCCAACTCATGGGCCAAAATAGCGAGTACCTCATCCACCTCACAGCCATACTCCTTATTATCATCGCTCTTATTATTCTTGCAAAATTCCTTCACAAGAGTATCGAAGAGAACGATCCTCTTGTTCTTGTAGAATCCGTACATGTAGGCATTGCTGTGGGAGGACCTCTTGGAGCCCTCGACAATGTACAGTTTATAGAGTGGAAAATCGAGGGAAGCAGCGAGTGCCTCGATTTTGGTCTTGAGTTCGCCCTCAGGAAGAGGTGAGTACTTGTCGAAGAGTGGCGCTATCACTTCGGGGTAAATCACTGACATGAAGAGGGTGACGACGACCACGAAGAGCCAGACGAAGAAGAAGAAGTAGTCCCCTCCGTTCTTGACGATCCAGATGAATCCGCAGAGGAAGGGAGGACCTATCAGCTGGGATATCAGGAATTTGAGGATTTGATCTCTGATGAAGAACTTTGTCGTCTGTTTGTTGAATCCGTGTCGCTCCTCTATGACGAAAACGTTGTAGACTTTGAAGGGAAAGTCCACGAGGAATGACACGGTACTCATTACCACTAGGCAGCCAGCACTCGCCAGGATCTCGTTCTCGCCGGAGGCCCCGAGGGCCTCTACCAGGATTATTCCCCATTTCCAGTAGTAGTGGAAGGCAAATGTTAGGATTAGTACCTTTGGGGAGAAAAGGAGACAGGAATTCAGCAGCGAAGCGATGAAACAGTTTAAGGGGAGACTACCATGAGTTATAAAATCGCAGGCTATTTCTCATACATTGAAGATTGATTATATATGTCTGGAAATAAATAATTAAAGAACAATTGATTTTTTAATGCTACAATAACAATTACGAATTAATTTGTTGAAATTCAACTGCAACAGATAATTTTTACTTCCGCATGGAAGCATTGTAATCGTTCAAATTTAAGTCTTCTGGTTTTATGGTATATTGACCCATTATGATCCCAAAAGTCCGAAAATGCATTTTTTAGGCGGTGTCCGTACGTTCGTATACATGTATGTGTGTATGTAACAAACTTTTTCTTCATTTTCGCGCTAATGAATACATGGAATTGAATCTTTTTTTTTCTCGAATGTAGGTATTGCTAAGCCCTAACCATCGCCATTAATTAGAATTTAATTCATTGATTCATTTTTTTAATTTTCGAATTTTTTCCAAATTCAGTTGTAACACGATAATTAAAAACAAATGTTCTAAATTCATTGAATGAAGGCTTAAAAAATTCGCTGGAATGTCCTTTTGACTGAGTTCGAAGATGAACGCGATAGCAATAATCGTTATTTTGAGTTCTGTGAAATTTTTCCAAAATTTCGTATTTTTCGAAAATCTGAATTCCGCAGATATCTCGGGATATTGCACTTCAAATGAATTCAATTATAGCCAAATATGTTTGTTAACTGTCTCGGTTAATTTGATTTTTAGGATCATTTTTAGAAATTTCGAATTTTTCATGAATTCCCCGGAAAGTTAGCTTTCTGATGGTTCGTTTAAATGTGATGTTTCGAATGCATTCAATTATGCATAAATGAAATATTCCTAATAATATTTCACAGAAATTTTCAGAAATTTTTAGAATTTCATCAAGTGGAAAATCTAAAACAATTAATTGGAAAGAAACTGATTCAATTCAAGAACATAAAATAGGCTATGAATAATATACAATGGAGAAAAATAAGCAAAATGACCATTCGGAAGCATATTGCTAATTTATTAGCAAAAGTAACTATACTATGCGCAATACAGGAGCAATTTCCCACTTGATTTAAATAAAATTGCACCATTTATGTAAAATAGCTCAAAATGAATGAATGGCGCAAATTTTTATACTAAACAAATTCGTAATTGTTGATGTTCACATTTGTTCAAAAATTTTGAAAAAAACCACTCCTGTAGCTAAAAAATTGGAGGCCCTGGACTATTTTTAACACTTTAAACGCATACGGGGTAACCGAATAATGAATCATTAATTAATTAATTTTTTTGCACTAATTATTCGGTTTTAGACATATATAAGCGGTCCTCAATGCATGAGAATTTTGACACTGTATCTGGGAATTTCTTAATTGAAGAGATAATTTAATATTCAGTGAATTGTAAAGAATTCACTTATTCTGTGACATTTTGTTACTTCGCTATCTAATCAGTTGCATCTCTTCATGTCTCTGTCCAGAATAATTCCGATCATTAATTTTGATTGCTATCCATACCGTGTTAATAATTGTGGAGTACAAATCATGAATATTACTGTACGCGTTCCTATCCAATGCGTAAAGTCTTGCTTTTTTGTAAACCTCAGCTGACATGAGGCCATCCAGACTCGATGGAACGGTCGCCAATTTTTCCATAAGTTTCCTCTGTAACATGAAATATTCCAAGACCTCTTAGAACACATGACACCGGAAAAACCAGAGATATTGCACCGCAACTGCGATTCATCGTTTCTTGTCACAACAATTTCCTTCCCTGTAGATCACGTATGAAAGACAATTCTTG